GCACAAGAACAGGCACTAAACACCGGATTCATAGAAGCAGGGGTCTACCACACTAGACAGGACCCAAGGTTCAGACTGTGCAGAGAGGCCTCAAAAAAAGTCCAACACATAGTGGCAGGGTGTAAGATGCAGGCAGAAACAGCATACACTGAATGGTACAACCAAGTAACTGGTATTATTTACGGGAACATCTGCATAGTATATGGGCCAGATCTTCCCAAGTCCAGATGGGAGATTCTACAGAAGGTCGTGGAGAATAACAGGGCTATCCAGGTGGACAGGCAGGTACTGGCTAATCAACCAGACATCGTGGTAGTAGACAAGGACCATAAGACAGCAGTGGTGATGATGCAGCAGTGCCAAGTGACAGCAACATCAGGGAGGAGGAGTATGAGAAGCTGGAGAAGTATCAGGGCCCGAAGAAGAAAATAGAGAGGATGAGTAAAAAGTAAAAGTAAAAGCCAAAGTAGTCCCAGTGGGGTAGAAGCATTTGGGACTGTGACTCCTAAGCTGGGAGAGTGGTTCCAGCAGATCCCAGTAACAACATCAGATCTCTCTGTCCAGAAGAGTGCAGTGCTAGGAACAGGTAAGATACTACGCAGAACCCTCAAACTCCCGGGCCTCTGGTAGAGGACCCGAGACTGAGGAAGACACATACCGTCCATAGGGATGAGAGGGGATTTGTATGTATGTATGTAGTATGTATGTATGTATATATTCAGTTTACTTTTGGAAAATTCAACAGCAGAAAATGCCTTTAAAATAAAATAAAATAAAATAAAATAAAATAAAATAAAATAAAGATGAGGTATTTTATTACTAAAGGAAGCAGAAGGATCAAACTTTTCACAGGCACTTATTCCAACATTAACACTACCTTTGGAATCAATGTAGTCAAGGACTTCCAAAGCCACACAGTAAGTTCTTGTTAGACTTGGGAACTGGATTCTGTTGTTCTTGGATCCTGGCCTTGACCTCAGGTCATTAGATATCAACATTTAGCCCATGGCACTTCCAGTAAAAGTGAGCAAATATTACTATGAAACCATAAAATAGATGTTTAACCTCAATATATAGACTAAGGAAGGACAACTTGTGCCCAGATTTTGTTAAGCTGCCCATCCCAGCAGCCATAGTAAGTAGTGCCCAAGGTGAAGGATGCTGGCAGTTGTAGTCCAGCAAATTCTAAAGGATCAAGCCATGAACTTCTGTTACCAACCACACCAATCTCACAATGAGTTCACTGTGATATCATGAAGTAAATTCCACCCTTTGCAACATTGCACGGAAATATATAAGGGGTTGAGTTTGTGTCACATTACTGATTTCATCACTTGTGCCCTCTTCACTGTCTCCTATGGATCTATGGGCATCTATGATTTAGATGAGTCAAACTACAGTGGTACCTCGGGTCACGAACTTAATTCGTTCCGCGACTCTGGTCAATCAAATTTTCCCATAAGGTTCGATGTAAATACGGGTAATCCGTTCTGAACCATATGTTGTTGTTTTTTTAAACCACAGAAATATGACACACAGTACAGTACGAAGAGAGAGAACGCTAACCTTGCTCAAGGCGACTTCTGGCGTGGAGGACAGGAAGGCGGGTGGGGAGGCGGTTATTGCTTGGAGGGAGAGTCCCCCTCCCTACAGGAAGCCACGACCACGTGTCACAGCAGGGAAAATGGCCGCGGATCCTGTTCGGCACCTGATGTTTAGTTCGTGGACGGAAGCAAAATTTTGCGAACGGTGCTGTTCGTGACCCGAATTGGTCGTGAACAGAAGCGTTCGTGACCCGAGGTACCACTGTATTATGAAACTGCTATTATTGAAATGTTTGCATACTGTAAAATGAGGAATGTACTGCCAAAGATTCTTTTTAGTTCGTGGACGGAAGCAAAATTTTGCGAACGGTGCTGTTCGTGACCCGAATTGGTCGTGAACAGAAGCGTTCGTGACCCGAGGTACCACTGTATTATGAAACTGCTATTATTGAAATGTTTGCATACTGTAAAATGAGGAATGTACTGCCAAAGATTCTTTTAACAGATAAAATAAACACCAGGATTAAATATTTAAAATAATATGTTGTCTGAATAAGAACACACATATCATTTTGAGCCTAACACTAGAAAACTCCTTCATGCCTTGCATTTAGGCAAAGCAAGGCAAAATAAAACAAAAGGCACAGTAAATAATAGGGCAGAATTCCTCACCTTTTTGAGTCAGTGAGTACATTGGCCATTCACAAAATGCTTGCCAGAGTAGATGTGTCTAATCTCAAAATAGATTATACCAGTCCATCTATCAGAGAACAGCATGCTGAGATTGCTCCCTGCTATTTCTTAAAATATTTAGCCTGGCTGTAGTGCAAAGGGAGTTCAATTTTCAAGCCAACAGTATCTGTAATACGGATTTTGGACTTTTCCTTGAAGAGAGATTCCATGCTGTTTGTGTCCAATAGGACTGTTCTTGTATCGCAGCTTGGATAGATGCAGGAAGATAAGGCTCATTGTACTAGAATTTCTAGCCTCTCTTGCAGACCCTCTGCACTTGTACCTGTTTTTTCATACCACTCAATGAACAGAGGTTGGATCAGAGCTACATTCCTGTCTTCTTCTCAATAAACTGGTTGGATAGAAGTGGAAGGGTTTTTTTTATTATTCCAGAAGGTTACTACCATACAGAAATACTGGAGGATTACTAGCATTTGCATTTATTTATAATAAAAATATTTGCATTTATTTATTTGCTCAAACTCACTTTTTCCTCTATCCTCACTCCCAACTCAAAAGTATATGCTAGGCCTTCCATAAAGGCATATGAAGCTAGACTTTTTGCATGAAACAGAAAAAAATGAACTTATGATTTCTGGTTTTGATGATTAGACAGGATAGATTATAGAAAGAAGAGAGTTATGCTGTAACCACAGAGTAAGTGGTAAATCTATAATTGTACTTATAATTGCTGTAAAGAAGATTGGAAGCTACTTCTTTTTTCTTGCTCTTCTATTTTTCTTTTACTTTTTTCCCTTTCTTGCACTTTTAGCTTTTTCCTTGATTTCTTTTTTTCTTTTCTCTTTCCCACTTTATATTGGTTTGTATTAGTTTTTAACTTCTTCTTTTTTAAAATCTTTAATAAATTTATATTAAAAAACATAAAGGCATATGGAATATTCCTTAAGTGACATTGGAAGTGCATACCTTTTCAGTTATATCTTTAACTATTGTTAAAGTTATATCTTTAACTATTAAAGCCAATTATAATCACATAACAATTGGACCTATTTTAGAAGGGTCTATAAAAGTCTATAATTTTACAATTAGAGTATTATTCAGTTAAAATGCTAGAACTGAAAAGGACCCTGGGACATTATTTATTTATTTATATGCCAAGAACTCACAGTGTTTTACAATTAATTAAAAATCCACTGCAAATAAACTAAATTAAAAAACAAATTAAATTTAAACATAATAATAATAGTTTGTCAGAGCATTATCAACCAAGCCAACAACAAAGAAACCATTATAATAACAGAAACAACCAGGGGTGAAAATTAAACACCAAATGGTCTCTGGCAGAGTTCCTCCTTCATCATCTTCCGGAATGATATTAAAGGACTAATTTAATTTGCAAGGGGAGGCTGTTCCATACAAAGGCTGGGCCTAAGAGATGCTGTTTTTCAGTTAAGATCAAAAACAACACTTCCGGGCTCAGCCTCACTCAGATGAAATTAGGAATAATCAATTATCTCTCCTGAGATGATTTAGGGATCTATAGATTAGCATTTTGAATTGTACCTGGGAACTTATTGAGAGCCAATGCATGGTCCAAAACACCAGTGCTATATACTTCTGGAGGCCAATAACTGCTAGCAACTGGGCTGTCACCTTTTGTACCAGTTGTGGTTTCCAAATGGTCTAGACAGCCCTACATGGAACATATTGCTGTGGTCTAAATGAATAGTGATGAGGGCATGATTTACTGTATCAGGATCTTCAGGTGTATGAGTTTCTACTTGCCTATCCAGCAGTAGCCATGAGTCCAGAAGGATCCTCAAATCACAAATGTACTCTCTTGGGGGTAGTGTCACTCCCTTGGGGACGGTCATGATGGACAAACACCAAATCTATCTTTCTTGGGTTCAATTTCAGCATGTTTCAACCCATCCAGACCTTCATAGCCTCTAGACCCTGGGACAAGACTTCCACAACATCACCAGTCTGGGATAGTGATGAACAATTGGCTGTCAACAGCATAGACAAGGTATACGCCTGTGACCCCAGTAGTTTCTTTTTTTTTTCCTGGCCCAGGGGCCTCTTTTGACTATGTAAACATGGACAAGTGAACATGATTGTAGCTGCTGATGTAAGCAACTGTATCAAGCAATCCATCCACTCTTAATTGTTCTCATGCAATCCAGTCACACAGGAACTTTTAAAAGCATTTGTCCTTGATGTCGATAAAGGTGCTAGATTTATGCTGTGAACTTTTAATGTTTAGGACTCTCAGAATTTTTATTTAATGTGGAGTAAAATCTTCTGTTTTATTTCCCCACACCAAAACCAGCACTTTTCTTCTACCCAATCCTAATGACCCATTTACTTATTTCTTCCTGTATTTCATTAGTCATGCCACAGCAGCAGGTTTCAGATTAAAAAGCAACAATGAAATCTCACCAAAAAATCCTTATTAAATATATTAACACAACAAATAAATGTTAATCACTAAAACAGCAGAGATAAAATGGATCAGTAAACCATGGGTGCAGCATTAAGATAAAAGTTAAAAGATAGTTTTCTGAGCAATGACTTCTAAAGTTGGCCTGGCTCAAAATGTAAACCATGGAATATTTGACATTTGTTGAGAGTAATTTGTTTTGTTTTCCAAGTTAATCTAGCATGAATTAGGAAAAAATCATCCAGTTCTATTTATCACATTAAGAATAAACTGCAGTATTAATTGACTTAAAATGAAGTTCAGTTATTTTATTTGCTTACCTCTCCATTGAAGAAACAGAAAATGGTTGCCACAAGTAAGCCCTGAAAGGAAAAAGGAAAAGCAAATTATTCAGATTTTTTCTGTGATTATAGAATTAAATCAAACAGATATACAGTATTTTGTGAAATTTCACCATAGGTTAGTTAGACTTTAATAGCTCAGAACACAAGAGCTCTGCTAGATCAAAGAGCTATCTAACCTAGCATCCTGTTTCAGATAATGGACAACTAGCTCACTTATAGAACTAATCCTCATCTGTTTTTCTAGTATTTTCCTCTATTTCTCTAATCCCCCTTTAAAGCCATCTAAAACTAATCAGGGATCCTAAAATCCTAAGTGAGGGAGGATAGAAATGAGTGTCCTACATCCCCCATTGACACTATTCTGGTTGAACAGGACTTGAGCTCAAAAATATCACCACACATAACGAAAAGAAATTCCATTCTTGATCTTCAGTTACATTTTGATATTGATCTGAAACACTTCATTTTGTCTGTCTTGAATTCTACAATTTCTTCCTTACATTAGGTTTTCCTTGTTCAGAGAGAAAACAAAAGGATATCCATGATATATATATATATA